CTTCTTTCATCAGGAAAAAAAAATTCTTTCTACCTTATTCCGTTCTTTAGTAATCAGCAGTAGAACATAGATTGGTTTCAACAAAAACACCAGTTTTTGACCAATAAATGGAGAAAACAAGCTTTTTGTGAAAAGATACAGTTCAAGCAGAGAAGTGTCTTTGATGCCATTTTTTTAGCTTTAGTGACACCTCAAACATCTTAAAAGTTGTATCCTTCTATAAAACGGCAAAAACAACATCTAGAAATGGTTTTAAATGACAAAATAATTTATTCACAAATACATTTATGGAAATAGTTTTGAAACACGCCGTGAGCTAGGCCTACTCTCTCCGCTTGGCCCGGGTTGATCTCCTTCATTTCCTACGATCGGGACACCGACCCAACTACTGCGATTGCGACACAAACTTTGTATTGTGTGAGGTGCCTCGACTTCCTCGACTTGCGTCTCACCGGCGACATGTTCTCTCATAGCGAACCGTTACCTTTTTCTTATTTGCCTACAGTCTATGCTCATCTCCCATCAAAAGTGGCACTGCCACCTAGAGGGTCAATTTGTTACTACATACTCTGTCTAGAAGCCTGATATTTACGGACAAGCTTTAGCGGATCGTCCCCCAGGCCACTCTCGTTGAAAAACATAAAAGACGTCTATAGACGTCTTTGGCAGCCAATGAGTTAAAGATAACTCACCACATCTGGCCTTTGTGACTTTTAGGAGACTTCTCCTATCTAGCTTCTCTTTTTTTTTCATCTGCTGCTGCGTAAAAACTTGAAATGAGTCACCCAGCCTCTCGTTTGGGAGCTGGTCGGTGAACTTTGGTGTCAGCTTTTTTAGAGTCGCTGCTACAGGGAAAGACGTGCTGCTTGGACCTTTCGCCAACAAATAAGTTTTTAAAAAGTGTTTTTTTTTCTTTTCGCAATCAGCGAACAGTCACTTTTTAGCTTTTGAAGACCACAATGTTGGGCAGAAATGAGGAAAAACTGACTGAAATAAAAGAAATAGCATCTCCAAAATTACCCAGACTTCTTTCTCTTCCTTCATTTTAGCATTTTAGCATTTCTGATCATGTGAATTACGATTAGCTCTCTAGTTGAAAAACATAAAAGACGTCTATAGACGTCTTTGGCAGTCAACGATTGTATTTGAATTGACGTCTATAGAGGTCTTTGGCAGCCAATGAGTTAAAACCCCCGCCTCTTACCTTGAGTCCACTCCGGCTGGCGTAGGCCTTCCCACACTGGGGGCAGTTGTAGGGTTTGTCCGGCCGGGTGGGCGGAGCCACAACCACCACCGCCGTCGCTGGGGGGGGCGGGGCCTCCCGGTCCTCGGGGGGGTCCTCCGGCACGCCGGGGGCCTCCTTGGCGGGGGGGTCCATCTCGGGCTCCGCCTCAGAGGGGGGGGGGCGGCGCCCTCTTCGGGCGTGGCGTTGCCGGGGGTGACGTCTCCAGACGCCTCCTCCTCAGACCCCGCCCCCCCGGGGCTGGTCGGGGGGGTGAGGGCGGGCGGGGGGTCGCCGTTTCTGTCTGGTGACCCGTCTGGGGGGCCCCCCCCCTCGTTGTCGGGGGCGACGGGGTCCAATGGGCCGATGGCGAGCAGGGGGGCGGCGTCCGGCCTCGGACTGGCTCCGCCCCCAAGCTCCGGGGGGGCGGCGTCCTCCTCGGAGGGGGGGGACACCGACACATTCTCCACGGGGCTCAGGTCGCCCCCCAGGAGTGGGGCGGGGTCAGAGGTCAGGGGGGGGCTGGAGATCGGCGTGGACCCCTCAGAGTCCTCGGTCTTAACCGAGTCCACTTCGGCGTCCATGGCGACGGGGGGGGGCGGGTCCGGGGCCCCCCCCGCCGGAGACCTGGGGGGGCCCGTGGTCAGGGCCAGGGGGAGGATCTGCGTCTGTTTGGAGGCGGGGTCACCCGACGCGTCCCCGGCAACGCCCTCTTTTATCTGATCTCTCCCTTCCTCGCCGCCGTCGTCAGGGGGCGTGGCCTCTTCTTCCTCGCCGCCGTCGTCGGGGGGGATCTGGCCGCCTAGGTGCAGGCGGATGTGGTGCTGCAGCACCAGCGCGTTGGTGAACTTGCGCGGGCAGAGCGGGCAGGAGTTGAGGGCGCGGGCGTTGGGCGGGCGGGCGCGGTGCGTTGCTAGGTGCGCCCGCAGGCTTCCCTTGGTGGAGAACGAGCGCCCGCACAGCTTACAGGGAAATGGCCGCTCGCCCAGGTGCGTCGCCTGGTGCAGCCGCAGGGCGCGCGGGCAGCTGAGCACGCGCAGGCACACGCCGCACTGGTTGTTGCCCGGCAACGGCGGCGTGGGGGCGGAGCCTGAGACGGCGCCCCCACGGCCCGCCACGGCCGGCCCCAGGCCCAAAGCGGCGAGCATCTCCCTCCGGTAGCTGCTGGAGGCGGTGGTCAGGTCGTGGGCGTCGGGCTCCGAGGTGGAGGGGACGCCGCCCACGCCGCCATTGCCGCCGCCGTTGCCGCCGGCGACCGGCTGCTTCTCCAGCTTCTGCACCAGCCGCTGCAGCTTGGACGTGTCGGACGTCTGGCCCGAGGCGGCGCCGGATGAAGCGGAGGACGGCGAGGAGCCCGGCGGCTTGGGGAACGGCGGGAAGGGGAAGGGCAGCTGGTGGGGGGGCGGGGCCAGGTGGGCGGCGCCGCCCGGGTGGGACGGCGCCCCCCGGAGGAGCGCCAGGTGGTGCGGGGCGGCCCCCCCCGGGAACAGGATCTTGGGCAGGTGGGCGAGCTGGGAGTACGGCGAGGCGGCGTGCAGGGCGGCGTGCGGCGGCGTGTTCTCGTCGAACCGCTGCTGCTTGGCCCCTTTGAACTGGGAGGAAGAGGAGGATGAGGAGGAGGGGGAGGAGGAAGAGGAGGGCGTGGCGCCCGACGCGCTGGCGGCCGCCGCCGCCGCCGCCCGGTTGAGCTGCAGCAGCGAGTGGGCGGTGGACAGCAGCGCCATGTCCACGGAGGGCGGGAGCGGCATGGCGGCGGGCGGCGCCCGGCCGGACAGCATCCCCATGGCGACGCTCTCCGCCATGCCGGGGACGCCGCCCTTCACGCCGCCGTAGGCGTCCTCGTCCTCGGCGCGCCGCTTTCGCCTCCTCTGGGCGCCGCTGGACGCCGGCGCCGGTGGCGCCGGGCCGCCATGCTCGGCCAGCGCCGGGGGCAACAGGGACAGCGACAGCTCGGGGTTCTGCTCGCGATGGCGGAGGAAGTGCGCCTTCAGGTTGCCGCGCGTGGTGAAGCGGCTCAGGCAGACGGGGCACTGGTACGGCCGCTCGCCGGTGTGCGAGCGCAGGTGGATCTGCAGCGAGGAGTCGCTGCTCAGCACCTTCCCGCAGAAGCGGCACACGTGCTGCGGGCGCCCGCCCGCCGCCATCGCCGCGGCGACCTGGAGCTCCTGCGGCGAGGTGGGGAACGCCGAGGAGGAGGAGGAGGAGGAAGAGACGGAGGGGGAGGGGCCGAAGGTGTTGGAGGACTTCTCGTGGAGGTAGCGCGGCGGCAGGCCGAGGGAGAGGGACAGCGGGTGGAGCGGCGCCGCGCCCGCCGCCGCCGCCGCCGCGCTCGCCGTGGAGCAGATGGCGGCGGACGGCGAGGCGGAGGCGGACGCCACCCGGGCGCCATTCACCAGCGAGGCGCCGGATTTGGAACCGGCCGGCTGGGAGAAGAGGGAGGACGGGAGCCCGGCCAGGAGTGAGGAGGAGGAGGAAGATGGCGCCGGGCGCGGCGGCGAGGACGAGGACGACGACGTCGGCGGCGGCTTCTGGCTGTTGCCGACGCCGCCATTGTTGTTGTCGGGGGTGAAGAAGGCCCCGCCCAGCCGCAGGACGTGGCGGCAGATCTCCTCGGTGATCTGCATCTGGTGGATCTGCCGCTGCTGGAGGACCCGCAGCTCCTCCAGCAGCACGGCCAGCGTGGGCGGCACGCCGAGCTGACCCGCCGCCGCCATCGTTGCCCCCGGCGACCCCGCTCCCCGCCGCCGCCCCCCCGGGCTGCCGCCGTCCCGGTTAGGCTGCTGCGAGGAGGACGAGGAGGAAGAGGAGGCGGTTGCCGGGCGTCCGGCCGTCGGCGAGGTCATGGCGGCGTGCGCGGGAACGCCGCCGGACGCCTGACCGGTCGCCCCCGGCAACGGCGGCGGCGAGTGGGTCTGCGAGGACAGCGACGGGTGCGGGAAGTCCGGCGAGAGCGAGGAGTGCGTGTTGGGGAGGGAGGTGGCGAAGGGGGCGGCGTGGCTGGGCCAGTGGGGGGGCGGCGAGCTCTCGCTGGGCAGGGAGGGCCCGTGGATCGCCCCCGGCGACGGGCGCGGCGCCCCCGGCGACGGGCGTGGCGCCAGCGGCGGCTGGCAGTCCTGCAGGGAGGCGGGCGAGGAGGAGGAGGAGGAGCCCGACGAGGTCAGGTCCGAGCCCAGGGAGGTGGAGGGGGACTTCAGGCTCAGCGGCTCGTCTGGGGAGAGACAGGGACACGTTTAGAGGGACGCCATCGGCCAAACGGGCGCCATCGGCCGGCCAAACGGGCGCCATTGGCCTCCAGATCCTCGCCACCCGCTTAAAAAACGGACCAAGTCCCCCAACTAGCAAACTAACAACCAGCAGGCTCAGCTGCTCGTCTGGGGAGAGAGAGGGACGCGTTTAGAGGGACGCCATCGGCCAAACGGGCGCCACTGGCCGGCCAAACGGGCGCCATCGGCCAAACGGGCGCCACTGGCTGGCCAAACGGGCGCCATCGGTCTCCATCGGCCTCCAGACCCACGCCACCCGCTTAAAAAACGGACCAACTGCCCCAACTAGCAAACAAACAACCAGCAGGCTCAGCTGCTCGTCTGGGGAGAGACAGGGCGGCGTTTAGAGGGACGCCGGGCGCCATCGGCCATACGGGCGCCATCGGCCTCCAGACCCACGCCACCCGCTTTAAAAACCGACCAACTCCCCCAACCAGCAAACAAACAACCAGTAGAAATCCAAACTCTCTGAAAGGCCTCGTCTCCTCTGGAGCATAACTCCTCAAACATCACACACACACACACAAACACACACACTAAAAAAAGAGCTTACAGACCACCTTGCTGCTATGGCAACACATTTCGGAGTACAATGGGCATCACCAGGACAACCCGTAACCCCTCTTAACCCACCCCCCCCTCCCAGGCAGCAGCTCCGTCTTTCATCTCCCCCGGCCGGCCACCCTCCCCCCTTACGTCAGAGGGGAGGTCGGGGGTCAGGCCCTGCTAAGGCTTCTGGGTACTGTCCACACGCCCCTGATTGGTCAACTAATCTGACCTGTGCCGCCCAGGGGTCAAATTCTTTCAAGAATCTTGAGCACAAGAGTGAGAAAGACTGAAAAAAAAAGAAAGAAAGAAAAAAAGAAAGGGGGGAGGGTAACAACAATGGGAGAGACAAACTAACTACTCCCCTCCTGGAGAGGTATAGTGATGGAATGAAAGACTGTACCTCAGCGAGAAAAAAAAAAAAAAAGAAAAGAGAAAAGAAAAGAAAAGAAGAAATCCCTTATCCCCAGTTTTTCTCCACAAACAAAAAAAAACCTCCACCTGCTCCCAATCCCAAACCTCCACCTTTAGCCCGGAGAAAGGCTAAAAAGGACGAGGCACAAATAAATGGGAGAAACTTTTTCTCATCCATCCGAACACCCCCCCCCCCCCTCTCTCTCCACTTCCTCCCCCCCCCCCCCCCCCCCCCCCCCCCCCTCTCTCTCTCTCACCCCCTTCTCCCACCTTATTGTTGACAACCATGCGAGAGTTCCCTGCTAATCAGGGAGCTCTGACCAGCCGGGCCAGGACTTAAGAAAATGGCCACAGACGTGCGCGTAAATTAATCCTGATCCGCTCACCTCCAGGTTTAAGGCTCCAGGTCTCCGTTCAGTGGCCCGAAATCACGCCCGGTGGACCGGTTTGGGTCCAGAACCAGACCCGGACCCTGTTTTTTTCCCCTAATTTCTTTTAAAACTTTGTTCCAAATCAGGTGCGCACGAATCAAAATTGTGGAAAAGATCAATTTGGACACTCGGGCGTCCTCTCTCTCTCTCTATTTCTCTCTCTCTCTCTTTCTCTCTGTCTGTGACAGCCCGGAAAAGCTCCACCGGTGGAGACTAAAAAAATCCTCGTGG